AATTTCTGGGGCGTCCCAAAGGGAACTAAATCTTCTTTTTCAGGAGTTATCCAAGGATCAAGCAAGGAGTCTTGGATCCTCTTGGACATAAGACAAAGATCACAAACTCACGACCCAAGGCAGATCCACCCCCAGGCAGTTTTTCTTTAACCTGCAGTGTTAGTTAAAATGTAACTTTTTTGTATCAGTTACCAACAATTAAAAATGGGAAGAGTTTGTGTAGTAGTTTACTGTATAAAAGGCCCCAATTTCGTTCATGCCTTCCCATATCCAGGCATTCAGCTAACTCCACACCGAATCTGGGCTTGGCCACATGGCTTGCTTTGGCCAATGTGACAATAACCAACATGACCCAGACAGAGACTTCAAAAGTATTGGGGCTTGCCCTCTTGCTCCTCTCATAACTCTGGGAAGGCTCAGCCAGGGCTAACCCGCTGGATGATGAGAGACACATAAGCCAGATGCACACAAACACAACGAGCCAGTCCCCAGGAACAGAGCTTCTGACCAGCAGCTAACCTCAGACACGAGTAAGCCCACATATGCGCAGTCCAAGCCGCCACTCTGCAAAACGGTGAGCTAAATAAAGTGTTGGGAGTTTTTTTGAGGAAGATTGGCTCTGAGCTAACATCTGCCACCAATCCTCCTCTTTTTGCTGAGGAAGACTGACCCTGAGCTGACATCCACGCCCATCTTCCTCTACTTTCTATGTGGGACGCCTGCCGCAGCATGGCTCGACAAGTGGTGCTTAGGCCCGAGCCCAGGATCCAAATCGGTGAACTCCAGGCTGCCAAAGCAGAGTGTGCAAACTTAACCACTATGCCACCAGGCTGGCCCCAATAGAGTTGTTTTAAGCCAAAGTTTTGGGTGTTTTTTATGCAGCAAGAACTGACAGAGTCCATATGAAAATACATAGTCCCAGTTTAAAAACAAAAATCTAAAGTCTCTGCAACACTAGGACAACATTCCAACAAGAACCAGTTGACTTAGATGGTAGCTCCCACTTTTAGTCCAGCACAGCATGAATTTCCCAGTTTGTCACTATCATCTCACCCATGCTGGGGTCAAGTTCAGTTGCCAAATGTCATCTTAGTTGGGTGTTATTATATTTATGGCAAAGAAGAAAGTGAAATTCTGTATTCCACATACTCTAGTTACTATCATAAATGAGAAAACCAGTACAACCACTTTGGAAAACTATTTGTCAAGACCTGTAAGGCTGAACATACGCATACCTTATAACCCAGCAATTCCACAACTAGGTGTACACCCAAGAAAAATGAGTATACCTGTTCCAAAACAGATACAAAATGTTCACAGCAGCACTGTTCCTGATAGTCCCAAACCGGCTATTAACAAACTAGTTATCAATAATACCCATCAACAGTAGAATAAATAAAATGTGGCCTATTCATAGGGATCAATCTCATGCATAATGCTATGCACAAGAACCCAGACACAAAAGAGTACATACTGTATGATTCTACTGACACAGTTCAAAAACAGACAAAACTAGGGGCCGTCCTGGTGGCGCAGTGGTTAAGTGCGCATGTTCTGCTTCAGTGGCCAGGGTTTGCTGGTTCGGACCTGGGTGCAGATATGGCACCGCTTGGCACGCCATGCTGTGGTAGGTATCCCACATATAAAATAGAGGAAGATGGGCATGGATGTTAGCTCAGGGCCAGTCTTCCTCCGCAAAAAAAAAAAAAGAGGAGGTTTGGCAGTAGTTAGCTCAGGGCTAATCTTCCTCAAAAACAAAAAACAAAAAAAAAAAACAGACAAAACTAAAATAGTTGTCAGAAGTCAGGTGAGTGGTTACCCCTGGGTGAAAGAGAACGCATGGGGATTCTGACAAGCCGGTAATGCTCTTCTGTAATCTGGGTGCTGTGTACACGGACATGTACACTCTTGAAAATTCTTTGAACTGTATATTTATGATTTGTACACCTCAATACAGAGTTTGATTTTAAAGAGTGGAAAAACAAGACCAAGAGGATGGCCATATTTCAAGAAAAATGGTTAAGTATTTTTCTTTAGGGTTATCATCAAGACAATCTCTGTCATGTCTAATATTTAATGTGACAGGAAGAATGATAGCCATTATGAAAGAAATTATTACAGAAGTATGGTTGGAATTTGCAAAAGCTGCATAACAAAACACCTGATGAACTGGGAAAAAAAGGACTGAGTGAGCAACACCTAGCCTACTTCACTCATTTACACGACCCGCCTGTGGCCTTTGGGGCTTACAACCACTGACAGGAATCCAAGCCGTTTCTACAAAAGTTACCATCGTTTCTCTTAAGATGACTTAAGATACTTATCTTAAACTTAAGATACTGGGTGGGTTTACTGCCCCTTACACATCAATTACTTTCCTAATTCTCATCTGCCAAAGGGAGCTAATCATGGCCACCGGAGAGGGCTGTTGGGAGAACTGACGAAGACAACAGCTCTAAACCTTTAAGACAGTACCAAGGAGAAAGCAAGCATGCACTGAATTACTACTCTACTTACAGCAGTGTTACTGATGACTGCAAAGTGCAAAAGAGAATTAGAGGAGCCCCAAAGGTGGGACGCCGCTCACAGCAGCGCAGAGCCGGGCAGGAGCTGATGTGGTCATTCTGACGGGGGCAGAGAGATCACGGGCACACATCTAGGGCCGGCTTTTTCTAATGACGTAGGAAGCTTAGATTCCAAGGACACATGAAGCATATGAACCTCTGGATCCTGCAGTAGGCAGGCCCCTCCCATTTTTACAATACTTCATTTAGGGATCCACTATTTTTGGTATCAGTGGCTACCCCTCACGAGTGTTAGCGCTGGAAAGCCTTGAGAACCAGGAACTCAAACCAAAGGAAGCTCTACGGCAGAGCAACCTCTCAAACTTGCCTGATCACCCCACTCACCAGGTTTCTGGGCCTCTCCTCTGGAGAGATTCAGCAGGCCTGGGGAAGGGGCCAGAACCAGTATTTTAACAAGCCCTAAGGAGATTCTTACATCAGGTCAAGTGTGCAAAACTCCTATCTGGTGAAATTTCGAGTCCCATAGACCTGGATCCAAACCCAATCCCCAGAATTTATCAGTTGGGTATCCCTGGGCCAATTACACAAAACCTCTGAGCTTCTCCACTTGTAAAAGGAAACTAACAATACCTCCCAGGATTGTTGTGAAGCCTGGGGACATTGCTACACTCAGTGGGGAGGATTTCTGCTGTGAGGCCCCAAATGTGCCTTTGTCCTAATAATCCACTTTCCTGTTTGTCTCTACCCCATAAGCTGCTCTTGCCTTAGCCTATAAATCTACTTCCATGGGAGTAATTTCTGCATGGATCTGAAGCGGCCTGAGCAACTTATCAGGTGCTAAGCCACCTTGCCAAGGCACTGAAAGATTTTTACATGTGTCAGACTTCTTCAGTGATGACCCACTTTTTACAGAAGTAGGCGTGATGCCAGCATGAATTTTCATATGTATAAGAATTGCCACATTAAATGAGAATGTTTATGGGGCCGGCCCCATGGCCAAGTGGTTAAGTTCGCGTGCTTTGTTTCGGCAGCCCCGGGTTTCATGGTTCAGATCCTGGGCGCTGACAAGGCACCACTCATCGGGCCATACTGAGGCGGCGTCCCATAACGCAGAGCCAGAAGGACCTACAACTAGAATATACAACTATGTACTGGGGGGCTTTGGGGAGGATAAGAAGAAGAAGGAAAAAAAAGATTGGCAAGAGATGTTAGCTCAGGTGCCAATCCTTAAAAAAAAAAAGAGAGAGACAATGTTTATGATACACACACAAAAAAGTTATCTCTAACCTTAAAGATAAGGCAGAGCACAGGACCAGACACTTGGTGAAAACTCATATAGCTATTGTTATTTGAATATAACTACATATTACTTTAAATATTAAGCCATCACCTATTGAAACAACTTTTGATACAGAATACAGATTATAAAATTACTCCCAATCGGGAAGCTGTAGTAGCCTCCTATGAGCCTAATTTAAATCAAACCCCTAAAACCCGCTGTCTTGGGCTGGCCAGTGGCTAGTGGTTAAGTTCGCACCTTCTGCTTCGGTGGCCCCATGGTTCGCTGGTTCAAATCCCAGGTGCAGACATGGCACCGCTTGTCAAGCCATGCTGTGGTAGGCATCCCACACGTAAAGTGGAGGAAGATGGGCATGGATGTTAGCTCAGGGCCACTCTTCCTCAGCAAAAAGAGGAGGATTGGCAGCAGATGTTAGCTCAGGGCTAATCTTCCTCAAAAAAAAAAAAAAAAAACCTGCTGTCTTGTCCTAACTCTTTAACCATGGACATGTTTTGGGGGATCTTGATTGTCCTAACTTTGTCACGGGAGCTTTTTTTTTTTTTGACAGAGGGTCCCTGTCTTCCTCCAGATTCTGGAAGGGACCCATGCCCAAGAAAACGCTAAGACCCTCCATGCTAATGACAGCACCCAAAAGATTCCCTTTTTTTCTGCTTTGTTTTTGAAGCAACACATGGGACAGTTAGAAAAACCTGAATAGTCCCAACAGTATATAGAGAAAAGTTAAAATTCCTTCTTACCCATGCTCTGGGTTCTCCACCCCAAAGGCAACCTCGTTAAAAGTTCAGGGATCTTCCTGGAGCAGGATTTCTCCGTCTCATACTTACTGACATTTCGGGCCAGATAATTTTTGGTGGGTGCTGTCCTGTGCGTTGTAGGACGTTCATAAGCATGCCTGGCCTCTACCTACTAGATACTAGCAGAAACCACCCCCGCTCCCAGCTGTGGCATCCAAAACTGTCTGCAGACAGTGCCAAATCGGGGACAAACCCGCCCCCAGTTGGGAACCACGGCTTCCAGAGATGCACAAACTCTATGCACGCACAAACGTAGGTGTGGGTACCTCTACTCACTGCTCCCCTACACTGGTGGCACAGAGTCACTTTCCAACTCACTCGCGGGTCTGGACCGGGCGCGGGGGCCGGCCCGGGCCTCGGCAGGAGGCGACGGCCACTCACCAGGTCGCGGATGAGCTGGTCCACCAGCTGCTCGCCGCCCCCGGCGCCCTCGCGGGCCGGAGGGGAGCGGGAACGGCTCGCCGCGTCCTGCCTAGCGGCCCGCGCCGCCGGGGGCCGCCCCGCGCCCTCCAGGAGGCCCTGGGCCAGCGCCAGGTACCCCGAGGCCTGCTCGCCGCGCCCGGGGACCACCTCCGGCCGCCGCGGCCGCCGCTCGGCAGCCTCGGGCCGCCGCCGCTTCCTCTGCGCCTGGGCCTGCGCCAGCTCCTCCTGCCAGCGCCGGCGGAACTCGTCCAGGCTGTGGTCGTCCATGGCCGCCGCCCCTCCTCGGCCGCCGTGCGCGTCAGCCTGGGGTCCGCGCCGCCACGGCAGGGTCCCTCCGCGGGAAGTGTCCGCCGCGACCGGAAGCCGCCGCCGCCGCGGCCCAAGGGTTCCGGCTGGGCGGCCCCGCCCCCGGCGCGCCCCTCGCGCGGTCCCGGGCGCAGCAGGCCCGGGTCTGTGCCCCCAGCGCGTGCTCCGCTTCTGCTCTTGCATGTTTGTGGCTTTTGCCAAGCGCAGACTTGGCGCCAAGCACTGTTCCTTCGCTCAGCAAGCATGCATTGAGCAACTGCTGTATGCCCGGCGCTGAGAATTCAGCATTTAAATCTGCCCCCGCCCGCCCCCCAAATCTCTCCCTTCTTGGGGTTTGCATTCAACCGGTGGGGGAGATGTTCAACAAAGGAATATGAACGCTTGAATCAGAGGTAGGTGTTAGGAAGAAAACAGAACATATTAACTTCAGAAGGATGTTCAGGGAACGCATCTTTGAGACGTCATTTGAACTAAGAGCTGAATGAGATGGACCAGCGATGGGAAGATCAGATCTCAGAGGAGATATTGCCAGAAGCAAGTATAAGTGCAGGAGCTGTGAGGTGGGAAAGAAAGTGGCTTTCAATCACATTTCGTCTTCAAAATGCTTTGTACCTGCCGTTCCCTCCGCAGGGAATTTTTCTCCCCACCTGGCCCTGGTTAACTCACACATCTTTCATATCTCAGCTCGTGCCTCACTTAATCTCCCAAACCCCGTGCCCCAAAAGATCGAGTCTCCCTGTTACTCATTTTTACAGCATCCTATACTTCTCATCGTAGCCCAGAACACAGTTTGTAATTTTATATTTCTGCCATTATTTATTCATATCTCCCTTCCCTGCTGGACTGTCAATTCTTAGCTTGAAGGCTAGCAATTGGTAGGTGCTCAATAAATATTTGCTGAATAGATAACTATTGTCCCCACTTTACAGATGAAGAAACTGAGCCCAAAATTACACAGCTGGTAATTTGCAAACCCGGGATTCTAATTCTTTATTTTTTTTAAACACTCTGCACTTGACCTGTTAATTATTAGAATCATACAGCCCACATGCCTAAGCCAGCTAGGAACCATTTGACAGCCTCTAGTTACCACGATCTTTTTCAGCTCAGTGATATTACCGGCATGGTTATCAGCCCAGGCTCCGAAGTCAGAGAGACGGATCTAGGTGAGAATAGCAGCACCCTCCTTTACTCACATCCCCTTTCTTCCAGCAATTCCACCTCTAGGAACTTATCCAAGAGAGGAACATGGAGGAGATCAAAGAATACCCTCAAGGATCTTCACGGAAGCATTGTTTCTAGTCCTGAAGATCAGAAGGAATCTAAACAGTTAACAACAGGGCACTGGTTAAATAAGTTATGCCCCATTAGAATGGAAGAAAAATCCTAACTAGAAGTCCACTCCTTGAGGGTGGAGACTGGATCTATTTGTTTATTGCTGTGCCTTCAGTGCTCAAAACAGTGCCTGGGACATGGTAGCTGCTCTATAAATAATGAATGAATAAATGAAATGCTGTGCAGCTATTAAATATTTCATTGGAGGAAATTTAGTCACATGAAGATTGTCACAATATGGTAAGTGAAAATAGTCAGGATACATAACCATAGATACAGTATGATCCCGGTAGTGTCTTTTAAAAAGTGTGTATGCATTTTCAAAAGAAAATACACCCAAATCTTAACAGACGAGATCTCTAGAGAGGGCAGGATTATGGGTGATTTTAGTGTTTTTTCTTCTTTATCTGTATATTCTAATTTTCTACAGCCTGGGGTTTGCGGGTTCGGATCCCAGGTGGACACAGCACCGTTTGTCAAGCCATGCTGTGGCGGCATCCCACACAAAGTAGAGGAAGATGGGCACAGATGTTAGCTCCATGACAAACTTCCTCACACAAAAAAATAAAATAAAGAGCATTCTTGAGTTGGCCCCACTGTAAGCAACTTATACTCCACCCCACTGAGAACTTCTAAGGAGTCTTGAAGAACACACCTCAGGATTGTCCTCCCAAGAGATAAGAACTGGAAGAAGGGAGCACTTATCCACTGGCTTATCCTTCCTTAGAGAAAGTTTAAGTCAGGAGTTTTTCATAATCTCTCACTTCCAGGTTGGGCATAAGTGAGTGAGTTCCCATGGATATCCCACACTAAGGCAGCAGAGATGCCCTGGGGCAAAAAGCAAGAGACACTCAGTGCAGCTAATAAGAGGGACTGGCAGGTTACCTGTGCACAAAGCCAGTTGCTACAGCAATGACTGAAGTAAAAGATGAGTCAAGAGGATGTGATGTGGGGCATAAGAAATGTCCGATAAGTATTCTTTTTATAGTAAAAATAAAAACAATGAGCTATTTTTCCCCAAACATTCAGCTAACATCCTGCTTCATTCTAGATGCTTTCCATATGAATTCCAAGGGTCAGTCAAACTGGTTTTGATGGTCTACTTATAGATCAAAAGCCAAATGTGGCTCTTCTTGTTATCTCTAAAATATATGGAACATCTAATATTTAAAAGCAAACTGGAAATTTTTTAAATACTTAATTATGAAGGTCAAAATCAATGTTTCCTCTTGCCCCTTTAAAAGAATTTCTACAGGGGCAGTGCAGGCAGGCTAACGGGGCGATTAGACACCCAGAAAAAGTAAACAAAAAAGAGAAATATACTAAGAAGGAGAAAAATACTGTCCTTTTCTCAGTATTGTCTACCGTTCACCGACAATATTTATGTTGATTTTATATCTTCCCAATAATAAATTCCTAGGCCTCCATGTCCTCAAACAAAAAATAAAGATAAAAATATCTTCCCTTCAGAGAGACTATAAGGCTCATAAAACGTCTGTAAAACTCCTAGCATCCATCAGACACATAGCAGGCCTTCAATAAATGATGGCTATGATCCCCATTAATACGGTCTTGGCAGACAGAAATTACGTCTAACCTATGCTCTGTAAGGCTGGTGTTCCACGAACCCCACTTTTTTCATATCAAGAGTGTTCCTTGAAAGTTCAATCCATTAAAAGTCTTTGGTTGCAAGCAACAAGTCTTGCTTCCTTAAGCAAAAACGAATTGAACTTGGGATGACTCATCAAGTTAAAAGAAAAGAGGAAGAACCAGACCCTCAGAATGCCCAGAATCAGATCAGATTCAGGGATTTCATAGTCATGAACTATCTGCTTTGGTTGAGCTCGCTACCTGTCTTCCATCTTCTGGGATCCACATTCCCAGAGCAGGGGTTCTCAGAGTGTGGCCCCTGGGCTAGCATCACCTTGGAACTTTTAAGAAGGAAAATTCTCAGCCCAAAGACTCAGGGGGTGCAACCCCAATCTATGTTTTAGCAATCCCTCTGGGTGATTCTGCTACAAGATCCAGTTTGAGAACCACTGTCCCAGAGGATCATCTGAACGGCCTATTTTGGGTCACCTTCCCAGCCCTTGATTGGGGGGAGCAGGGTTACAATGGATTTCCAGGACCCTGTGAAGTGAGGAGGCAGAGTTCCCCAAGACAGAAGAAGCGGGGAGGGATACTGAGCCAAATTAAGACATCTTCAAGCCTCTCATAAGAGGGAGACTCCGGGAATTCAGTCTTAGTGTCTCTCATGCTACTAGTCTCCTCTGCCTGTTGTAGCTATGTGGTGATTCTCCTCGGGATCCCAGCTCAGGTCTGCCGGAGCCCCTGAAAGCTGGCTGAAAAATAGCCATCATCCTCCCCACAATGGTCTCAGTGGGACCCCCAAAAATGGTCTCATCCTCCTCAGACCAGCCACGCACTGGACCACCGACGTGCAAGAACTTCTTTCCTGCAGGGTCAGGTGGGTCTCAAAAAACTAGTGAGGGTGGGGGACAGGAGCAGAGATTATTAATTTATTTGTTCTCACGTACAAGGTCAGAAGGTTTATCAGTTTCCCGTTGCTGCTATAACAAATTAAGTGGCTTAAAACAACACACGATTATTCTCTTACATTCTAGAAGCCAGAGGTCCAAACTCCATTTCACTGGGCTCAAATCAAGGTGTTGGCAGGGCTGTGCCTCCTCCAGAGGCTCCAGAGGAGAACCTCTTTCCTCGTTTTCTTCAGCTCCTATATTGCATTGCTGGTCTATGGCTCCTGCCTCCATCTTCAAAGCCAGCAGCGTAGCATCTTGCTTCACTCATCCCATTGCCCTCTGTCTCTTGGTCAACTCTCCCTCTGCCTCCCTCTTATCTAAGGATGATTGTGGTTACCTAGGGCTCACCTAGATAATCCAGGATATTCTCCCCATCTCAAGACTCTTAATTTAGTCACATCTGCAAAAACCTTTCTATCACCTAAGGTAACATTCACAGATTCCAGGGATTAGGACCTGGATGTCTTTGGGGGCCATAATTCAGCCTACTACAGAAGGGCGTCAGTGACCACAGACTCCAATGCCTACAGGTGGCTCCAGGAAACAAAAACGAGGCAAGTGGGCCAGGTGTGGACTACGGCAAACTGAAGAGTGGATGCCCATCTAGAATGGGAAACCGATACTCTGCTCTACCCACCTGTTGGATCTTAGTCCAGATCTTCTAAAAATCAATATCTTGGTTTTTAATTATTAGCAACAAATTCCATTTTTTAAAGAAAAAGTGATTTTTATTAAAAATATAAGTTGCATTCAGCAGACTTCAAACCCCAAAATTCATTCTTGAACAATCCATGAGTTAGGACAAAACTCCCTTCAACTTACATTAAGATACCTCCTTAGCTCTTTTGACCAGGAGTGGAGAATCACACCTCATTTGGGATCACTAATGTGGGAAGAACACCAGAAGATTAATGTGAAAACTAATCAGAGGAAATGAGTATCATTTCAAAGGATATTGTTTACAAAATTAACAAAAACATCAGAATGAGGTAAGTCGCCATTTTGAACGTCAGCATGACCTTGATGTTCATCATATATGCATTATTGCCCTTTGCTGCTGTTTTATGCCTTCATATCAGCAAAATATAAAATTCTCTGGGGGAAACAAATTTGGTCTTAAAAAAACTATAGCAAGAAACAATTTGTTTGTTCTTGAGAACTTTCCCATCAATAA